GGGTCAGTGAGGGGCTGGGGGTCAGTAAGCTGGAGGGTCAGTGAGGGACGGGGTCGGTCAGTAAGCTGGAGGGTCAGTGAGGGGGCAGTTAGTGGGAGTGTCACAAAGGGGGCAGAAATTGATTGAGTCAAGAAGGGGCCAGGAATTTGGAGGGTCAGGGAGGGAGACAGTGGGAGGGTCAGTGGCAGAGAGGATCGGGGGAGGTGGATAGTGGGAGGGTCAGTGAACTGGGGACTCAAGGAAAGAAGGCAGTGCACCAAAGATTGGGAAAGTGAAGCTGGTCCAGTTTAGTTCAATGGTAATCCCTTCAGGATGTTTGGAGATTCAGTTATGGTTATGTCATTGAATGTCAATGATGATGGTCAGATTCTGTCTTGTTAGAGCTGGTCATTGCCTAGCAGTTGCTTGGTGCAAATGTTAGTTGCCACATTTCAGCCCAAGCCTGGATGTTGTCCAGCTCTTGCTGCATTTAGATATGGGCTGCCTTATTATCTGAGGAGTTGCAGATGGTGCTGACCATTGTGTACTCATTGATAAAGATCCCCACTTCTGTCGCAGTAAAAGTCATTGATGAAGCAGCTGAGATTGGGTTGGGCCTAGGACACCGCCCTGAGTAATTCCTGCAGTGACATCCTTGAGCTGAAATGCCTGACTCCCAACAACCACAATCAACTTTCTTTGTAAGGATTCTACCAGTGGACTCTTTCCCCCACCGCCCACCCCCCCCGATTTACGTTGACTTTTGTTTTGCTCGGACTCCTTGATACAAGGCCACTCTCTTCTCTCCTCTGGAATTCAGCTCTTTTAGCCATGTTTAAAGTTATAAAGAATCCAGACGCTGAGTGCCCTTGCCAAATTGAGTATCAATGAGCAGGGTCCTGCTCGACAGTGCTGACATGTGGTACATGCTGATGATTCCTTCAATCAATTTACTAATGATAACGAGTGGACTGATAGGGCATGAATTGGCTTCCTTGGATTTGTCCTGCTTTTTGTGGGCAGGATTCCTGGACAATTTTCCACACTATTGGGTAGATGCCAATGTTTTAGTTGTACTGGAAAAGCTTGACTCGGAGCAGCAAGTTCTGGAGCACACATCTTGAGTACTATTGACAGAATTATGTCAGACCCCATAGCCTTTTAAGTATCCAGTGCCTCCAACAGTTCTTTAATATCC